ATACAATGAGTATTAAATAAATTATTAATAAGTATTTAACAATTTAACATTTCTTTTACATGTAATAAATGCCGCCTTGATTAAAAGAATCATTATATTTAATGTTTTTTTAGCAGATACAATATTGAAGATTATGCAGCAAATGCCCAATAAAAAGCATTGCATGCAGCTGAGATTGCACTGCACCGTGTCTGCAGCCAGAACCCTCTCTGAAAATGAAGATGTACTGTAATGTCAATGTGCCACAGAAAGAATTGGGATTCGTTTAAACTGTAATCTCACACAGTTGTTATTAACATTTGAAGTGAATCAAAATTTACTTCATCAAAGTCGACTAAAAATTATTGAACACCACCCATTCTAATATTTTGGAACCAATTTTGGAAAAATTATTATCATTTTAAATGTTGACTACTGTATATATTTTATAGTCTCAAATATACTTCATAGTAAAATGAACTGTGCAAATGTTATGTGCCTAATCTGTCAGAGTGTGAATTGATGAATCGAAGAGCTTGAGCAAACACATCCACACAGCTATGATCAGATCATTTCTTGACATTTTTTTTTTTTTGAGTGTTAATTTAACTAAGAATGATCACATCACATATGTGTATATCCATCTAAATATTGCTCTTAGTATTGTGGACAGCAGCTTGATGTTTAAAAATGTTCATGACTCATCTTACACTCAGGGGCATACCCAAATGTTTGTCCAAGAAAAATGTTGTCTAGAATGACATCATTGACATTGTTTATTATAACTGTAGTGATTTTCCTCAGTTAAAAAATCATTAGCTATACCTCTTCTTGTATTTTCATGAAAAAAAAAAATTCAAATAACTTTAAAAAGATCCTATGGGGAAAATGTGGCTGGCACGGTGGCTCAGTAGTTAGCGATGTCGCCTCACAGCAAGAAGGTTACTGGTTTGAGCCCCAGGTGGGTCAGTTGGCATTTCTGTATGGAGTTTGCATGTTCTTTCATGTTGGTGTGGGTTTCCCCTGGGTGCTCTGGTTTCATCCACAGTCCAAAGACATGCGCTATAGGTGAATTGGGTAAGCTAAATCGTCATTTATGTATGCGTGCATGTCCTGGTCCTCATTGGGGGTTGAGCGTCGGGCTAATGACCCACCTTATAAAAATTAGACATTACAAAACACCAACATAGTGTGTCTAAATATCAAACTTGATATAAACAGCCCTGAGAGTAATAAAGTATGGGGAAAAATGTATTCAAAATATTTATATATACATATGTACTTCCAGAACCAAGGCTGTTATTTACAAAAAGGAGCAAGTGCTTCAACACACCCAATCTCATCTTACTGTTGCAACAGGAAATACTGTACATCAAGAACAAAAACACACAGCAAGCATTATCACTGGATCTTTAAGCACAACTGTGGGCTGAAAAATTACTTTTTGAACCTACTTGACTGATCCATTAGTAACCATACTTTCTCTTGAAATAACATTTCAATGACACTGCGCTTTATATAACAAAAGGAACACTAAAATGATCTTCTTGCGCTGATTGAACATCTCATACTTGAGCAATAAAGCATAAACTTCAAGTCATTACGCAACTTCCTGTGCACCTGTGTCAGGTGTGTGCATTTACCTGTGGTAAGGCGGAGTTGAGCTGTCTCTGAAGCACATCCCTCTCGTGAAGCACATCCTGGAGTTTGGTCTGCGACTGGATGAGGGTCTCCTGCGTCTCCCGTAAAGACTCCAGCAGCTTATCTCTCTCATCCAACATATTCACCATCAGCTGTTCAAAATTAGACTCGGCATCCGTGCCATTCTGGGAGCCTCTCTGGGAACTCACCGAGTCCCCCTCATTTATGGTTGGCATCACTTCGCACATCATATTGCTTGGTGTACTACAAAGTCTAAATCAAATTAGAAATTACTTTGAATTTTTTTTTTATTTTGTAAATTCAAGATTGAGATGCACTACTGATATCTAGTGCCATTTAAATGCACATCAAACATGTCCATGTGTTTTAAAACGCACATGCATCCTTTCATTTGACTAATTGCATCCCTCACACACCTTGACCTCTCTGGTCCATGAGTGTCGGCCTCTTCCGTTCTGACATTTTCCACCTAGTTTGACTTGGAACTCAATACATTTCGCTGCACGCCCATCACAGCGCTCGCCACATACATATTCCGATTGGAGTTGATTAAACCTCGCCTTAACATCCACCAGTTGCCATTAACCTTTCAGAAATCGGTGAAATTCGCGTCTGCCGCATCCTCCGGAACCCTCAGCCACCACCACCACCATCATCATCATCATCTCGGTGCACGGCGAGCCGAGCCGAAGCGCTCCTCCCTCTACGAGCTCATTCCCCGCTTACAACACAGCGATTATTCCGCTATCTCCACAAACATCCGAGCATGTTTTAAAACATAAACGCACCGACGCCTTGGGTGGACGTCGAGGTTGAATGCCTCCCACGTCGTCGGCGAAGATTATATCCACCCGGCGTGGCTCTGGAAAGCTCGTGCAAACAGCGTAAAATCGGAGTTCCTCACATCAGCACCACGCGACTACATGACTGTCATGCACGAGACGCCAGTGTAAGAAATGGTGTCACGCGCAGCGCCCTCTGGTGGAAGGCAGGTGCATAGAAATGTTTTGAGTTTTTTTTAAGCTAAACCACACAAAAAAGCATCCATCTTTTTTAATCATTACTTTTGAAAGAAGTCTCATCAACGCATTTACTTGTTCAATTATATTTTAAAATATATTTATTTATTTATATTTAGATATTTTTATGTTATGTTTATAAGTTCAATTTATATTTAAATAGATATACACACACATTCACCCACCCACATTATATATATATATATATATATATATATATATATATATATATATATATATATATATATATATATATATGTGTGTGTGTGTGTGTGTGTGTGTGTGTGTGTGTGTGTGTGTGTGTGTGTGTGTGTGTGTATGAATAATTATATTAATTATTTATTATTAAATTTTATTATTCATTATTTAATTTTTTAAATTTAGTCCTGTAATTCAAAGCTAATTTTAAACATTGTTATAATTTTGGACTTCAGTGTCACACAATGCTTCAGAAACCATTCTAATATGATGGGTTAATGAGATAATAGAGTATAATATGATGAGATAATAGAGTTGCTTTTTAATAAAATGATTGTAATTATGGTAATCATGGTTTCTGGACACAAAAAATAAAATAAGGATACACAAGCACAACTATTTTCATTGATGTTAATCAGATTTTCTTTAACCCTTTTTTGAAAAGTCAATTTTAACAAATATTTAAATTGTTAAATGCAGGCGGCGCAGTGGGTAGCATGTTCGCCTCACAGCAAGAAGCTCGCTGGTTCGAGCCTCGGCTTGGTCAGTTGGCGTTTCTGTGTGAAGTTTACATGTTCTTCTGGTGTAATTGTGGCTTTCCCTCACAATTTCTATGACATGGGGTATAGGTGAATTGGGTAAGCTAAAATTGTCTGTAGTGTATGTGTGTGTATGGATGTTTCCCAGTGATGGGTTGCGGCTGTAAGGGTGTAAAACATATGCTGGATAAGTTGGTGGTTCATTCCGCTGTGACCACCCCGGATTAATAAAGGGACTAAGCCAAAAAGAAAATGAATGAATGAATGAATGGTAAATGCACATAATAAACATTTTTAACTGAAATGATGTGCCACAATGTTGCTGTATTTTATTTATTTGATTGTTTGTTTATTTATTTATTTATTCTAACAAAAACATGTTGAGTAGAGGGGAAAGCTAAAATAGCAGAAAAATGCTTAAAAATATACAAAATAGTTTAGGTAAGCCAGAACTGAATTTGTTTACTATGTGCATATTAATAGAAAGCAATTAGGAAATGTCTGAATAAAATGTTGCTACATGACTTCTTGTTTCTTTCATGTTAAACAGGGGTCTCAAACGCAAGCCTAATGGCTTCTGGTTAACTGTCATCCCATACAAAATCGCTGCGTTTAAGATCTGATTTCTTAAAAAAAAAAAAAAAAAACAGGGATCTACACTGTCTGGCTGAGATACGATATAAAGTGGGTATCAGACAAAACAAGAAGCACTGCATTAAATTATATTTTTCCACCCCATGTCTTTAAAATTTATTTTACCCCAGTATTTTCAATGGAATTTCTGTGCTAGCCTGCGGATATTGACAGCGGCTGCATTTTTTGTCTCTCTTTATACTTTAACAACTAAATGGATGCTTACGTCTATTTACCTGAATATATTTAACATCGATGCTGTAAAAGAAACCTTATGGAAGTGAAAATAGTCACATAAAGCTCTCACCAGAACTTCATCTTTAGCTGAAAACATTTGCTGTACATATAGCCCATTCCTAGAGGGCCGCAGATCTGCATAGTTTCGCTCCAACCACCTCCAACTCACAGCTGCTCAATAGTAGCAGTAGTCTTGAACACCTTGATCAGTTAGATCAGCTGTGTTTGTTTAGGGTTGGAGCAAAACTGCAGAGCCGTGGCCCTCCAGGAATACAGTTTGAGACCTTAATTTTGAATTTTTATTTGGCTTTGTCAGATGTCATTATGATGAACTATCTTTCGATGCCTTCCATGAATTTTTGTAGAAATGCAGATGTCATTTTTAATACAAGGTCAAAGAATAACAAAAAACATCAAAAGCGATGGAAATATGAATTTTCTGAAGGCTCAATCTCCTTTTTACTCTTTAAAGATTGTCTTATATAGGCTGTTTATTATTTATATAATTCTTTGTACTCCGAGACACACAAATCAAAACTAACAGCTGAGATTACGTCATTGTTTGTCGTTTTCAAATATATATATATATTTTCTCTGAGGTCTGGAGTTATGAATATACAGCGTCTGATTGGAAGAAGCTCCTCACATATGATATTTGCGTCCAATAAGCGCCCAGTCTGGTGATTCGTTTGCCTGCTGAACTCTCGCGAGAATGTACGCGACCTTGAGCGTCAGTTCCATAATGGCTGAAGATCCTGGAGGAGCTTTCTTTAATTTCACCCTCATTTTAACCGATTTTTCGTTACCTCTGCTGGAAAGATGGCAGGGCTAACAGCATCGATAAACGGCCACAGACCTTCGCTGTCGTCATGCCCAAGAAAGGGTACCGAAAACGGCTGAAATTTAGAGCCGATGATGTTTGCTCGGAGTCAGGTAACGTAAATGATAGAGCAAGGCGGGCTAATGTCATGAAATGTAACATCGCCTGTAATTGCCAATGTAACGTTACATTTGTATGTAAACTTATTATATTCCTTCATATGTTCTTACAGTAACTGTGGCTGACTATGCCAATGCCGATCCCGCCATCGTGAAGTCGGGAAGAGTTAAAAAGGCTGTTGCTAATGCAATTGAAAAAGAAGGTAAACTATGTAATAATTAACCTACGTATGACAGAATGTTGTCGATAAATAACGTTATTGTAGATAAACTATGCCTTTACAAATTATAATATGACAAAGCTATATTAACGTCTGTCTCAGGTATGACTCATAGTTTCAAAGGTAACGTTGTGGCTTCTTATCTCATAGTCCCATAAAAGCCATGGTTGTTGCAATTTCTCGTTTAAACTTATTTTTTCACGCCATAGGCTGGCCACACAGACATTTATATAGTATAAACCCTTTGATGCTGCATCACCACAAGTGGAACGTTTTTCAGTATGTATTTGTATATTTATTTTTGAGTCTAAATCTTGACAAATTATATATCACATGCATACATATTTACTCAAAAAGTGTGATTCATTAACAAGGATAAACTCGTGTAGCTCTTTTTCTTAGTCCAGTCCTCTCTATTATACAACTACTAATTATTGACAGCTACCCCAAATGCATTTAATCTACCTCATTACCTGATACAGGTGTTTTTAATTGAACTTAAACTAAAACTGCATGATAATAAAGCTTCAACTGCAGGAATGATCAGACTAGTTCAATGATGTTTATGTCTGGTATGTTGAAATTCTAAATATACATCTATTGTTTGATATTTAATACTTTAGAGGTTTTTGATTACTGGATAGGCTTAATTTGATTGTAAACTAGCACTATTAGTAGGGTTCATTTGAATAAGTGTGAATGCTACCATCTGAACCTTGTCCACAGAAACAGAACTGGTTAGGGATTCAATTTCTATGTAAACAGTGTGAGCTGAGCTCGAATTCTCGAAAACTCCTCCTTCCTTATGGGACTGTCCTGCTTTTATTGATTCCAGAAAACTTTTTTTATGAAACGATCTTAAGGACATTTTTAGCAAAGTGATGCCAGAAAAATTCTTTTATGTATTAGCGCTAAAATTAGCGCTATTATTTAATTAATGTATTCTTTTATTTGTAGATTTTTTTTAATTGTTTATTTATTATTGAAATATTCTTGCCAAGAAAATAGCGTCGGTTGGTGACATTTACTTAAATTAAAAAAATACATTACATTTTTCCTTATAGGTGAAGGGAATTCTTGAAAATTGTGATCTAGTGTTTTCAGAGATAAAGTGCCCAAGTGAAACTTGCTTTTATAATAATTTACTAAATGGGTAATAATAAATCAATTTAACCTTTTTTTTTACAGTTAAGATGTACAGTATCCAGTGTTAGGCTTGGGGCAAACATGCCATCAAAACAAAAAAAAAACATTTCTATACTATACCACAGAATACTGTATCAATAGCATCTGATATTATGTAGTATGTATGTTAATATGTAGTATGTATGTTAATATGTAGTATGTATGTTAATATGTAATTTTCCACACTGGAGAAGTGCTGGAAACGTTTAAAAATGCATGTGGAAAGTGTTTTAAGTTCTTAAATTTGACTCAAAATGTGTGAGAAATCCCTTTTTTTTCTAATAAAGAAAACCATCATATTGACCAAGAAAAAAAACAAATCAACCAAGCTGCAATTTTGATGGAAAAAAAACTCTTGCTCTTCATATTATTTCAGTGAAATTACTCTGTGGACTCGAGGCATCCCAGGGTCCTGTACAGGAAGTGCTCTCCTCTGCAGACTGTGTGAAAAATGTGGCTCATGAGAGTAGTGATGAACAGGACTCAGAGGAAGGGGACGAAATCAAAGGTTCCCGTAAAAAGAAAAACAAACGACGCAAAGGTAAATACACTGAATTTTATCATGCAAGTTTTTAAATTTATTTAACTGTATGCATGGAAACCAAGGTTAGGAATTGAAATAAGAATTACTTGAAGTAAAAAATGACCTGCATGTCAATTAACAATGGCAGTCAGAGATGTGTTCAATTGAAGTATTAAGTTCCTGTCAAGGGTTATTTTAGATAAGTGTTTCCCAACTCTGTTCCTCAAGGCACACCAACAGTACACATTTTTAACCTCTTTCTATTCAAATGCACCTCTGATGAATCAAATCATCAGAACATTAGAAGAGGCTCAAAAACTTGAAATGAATGTTTCAGATAAGAGGTACATCCAAAATATGTACTGTTGCTGCGCCTCCAGGAACATGGTTGGGAAACACTTCTTTAGATGACTAAAATGTTTGGGATTCCATGTATTGCTCTAAATTGATATTTATTTCCCTGAGTTTGAGATTGTAAATGATTCCTGTTTTGTTTTTATTAAATGTCAGAAAACAGCGAGTGCATAAATGGAGAGGAGTATCCCATCGATATCTGGCTTGTGCTTGCTGCATACATTCGTCCAGAAGATGTCTGCACATTTTCTTTGATCTGCAAAAATGCATGGACTGCCACATGCACGGCTGCATTTTGGACACGTCTCTATAAAAGGTAAGTAGGCAAAAAATCTGGAACTGATCTTTTCTGTAAAGTGGTCCCTCAATATTTGCGAGAGTAACATTCTAGAAAATAACCTGCAATAGACGACATCCCCAAAGTAATCAGCTTTATTTTTTTACAATGATTTTTACTTTTATTTTTTACTTTATTTTTTACACTTTTTTTTTTTTCAGACAGGCCTAAACATTTTTACACTTATTTCTTGTGTAAACACTTGCAAAGGTCAAACCTTCATAAGTCCAGTATTCTAGAGTGAAATCAATGATCAACCATTTGATCTTCATTTATTTATTCCATAATGGCACCCTAAAGCCGCATAACTTTTACCTTCTTTTAGCATGTCCAGTTCAACTATTTGTGCGATGGTTAGCATCTTCCTCTGCCTTTTGGGTGCTACCGTAGGTGCCTGTGATGCAGAATGTTTCGTCGACATTGTGGGGAGAAAACTTGCAAACATATAGTACAGCCCTTCAGAGTCACACTGCTAGCGATCAAAGATTTATGTAAATTTGGCAAGTTAAACGCATTCTGTACTGTACAGGAGACACAGCACGGAGAAGATTGATTTACAATGGTCTACAGCCAAATACTTTAATAATAATAAACCTACTTTAATAATAATATTGATGATGACTATTATTATTATTAAGTAGGATATTGTTATTATTATTAGGATAATATTATTATTATTATAATTATTTAAAAGTCTACTTTTACAATTTGACATATGCAAACCATGTTCTCACCAACAGGCCCATGTCATATACAGTACAGATACTTAATAACCTACTATACAATAAAAGCATTAACGTATGCTGTTTTTTGTTTTTGTATTCTTTGGAGACGTAACATTAATTCTGCCTTTTTTTAAATAATAGGTCACCTATAGCTTTCGTCATGAGCCACGGCTGTGTTCAAAATACAACAATGTTTTCAAAGTGTACTGCCAAAGGAACGCAATTGTAAATACGAAGATTGATAAAACTGAACTGTAAAAAATACTTTGAAAGCAAATTACACCTAAGAGAAATTACCTTTTTTGACCTGCTTTTTTATCATTCCAAGTTAAATATTAGGCAAGGCTATTGTTCTAAACTAATAGGGCATGGGGGATAACTGGGAATAGAACACAGCCAGGAACTATGTTTCTAACTACAGCTCCAGAGGTGTAGTTGTTAGCATACAAGTTTGCGATGCAGTTTTGGGAATGTTCATTTGGTTCTTTTTTTTTTTTTTTTTTCTTTTTTTTTTTTTGGAAATGCACCCCAGAACATCTGTACATCCCAGAGGAACATTGTGTTGTTTAGTTATTGAATCTATTTTAAATAACATTGACTATTTAGAAGTAATGTTTGGTTTGATGGTAATCTGTCCATTGGATTCAGATTGTCATCTTTAAAACCTGACGTACAGTGATTGCTGTAAATGTGTAACTTCTGCCATTTGCAAATCCTTTCCTGTGATCTCATGAGACTGAGGTGTGCATTTATGATACTATTTTATCACACCATTTATACTATTTTGCTATTCATGCTATTTTACTATTTGCGATACTATTTTATCAGTGAAACTGAGTCAAACGTACCATTTTTGTCAAACATAAATTGTTTTCTACTTGAAAATACTGTAGCAGCTGTTAAATGAATACATCACTTTTATTAAATGTACACACCTACTGACAGTTAATTGTCATTTGTTAGTTTCCAACAAGCCTAAATTAGCCAAGATACTAGAAAAATAATTTAAAAATTATCAGCAAAATATTGTTTATTTATAGTCAAATATATGTATTTAGAACACTTGTTTTCAATATTGCACACCTATATTGTGGAACCAAGGCTACAGAAAGATTTGGACTGGCACTCAGGCAGTGATGCAGCATATTGGACATTTTTCACCAACCAGAACATGACTAAAGTTGTGTGTGTTTCAAATAAACTTTTCCCTAGGCACTATAATCTTGACGCAGACCTTCCTGATCGTCTTCAGCCTGATTCTATCACAAGGATGCATTGTCTTCGTGCCCGTGTGATTCGCTCTCTCTTTCACTTATATGAGCCCTTTAGCTCTCGAGTGTCCAAAAGCCCTCCTCTCCCCGAATCTACACCCACTACACTCCTCAATTCCAAGGTGTGTGTATATATACTTTCTTTTTTAAACCCATGTGATTTGAGGATTTTTGTGTTGATGTGTTTTTTCTCTTTCTCTCTCTCTCTCTCACTACAGTGCTTGTTGTTTTGGGTCAACAAAGTGTCTGGAAGTAGGTCAGAGCAGATGTGGGAATTCAACTTCAAGTTTGTGAAACTGGTATGCTCACTATACCTTCGTAAAAGCTAATAAGACATGATTCTGTGGTTTTAATTTGATTGTCTTTTAATTTTCAGCCAACCAAAGGCAAAAATGGATGTAATTTTGCTCTTCAGTTACCCAAGCAGTATAAGGATGTTCACACAAATCCAGACTCGGACTGTTATCTGCTGCGGGTCACTACCCTCAATTTCATTTTCACTTCTGTTGTGATGGGCATGACGTTAACTTTGGTAAGTGCTGATAAACTATGTTTTGAGATCATGATTTTTATTTTATTTTTTTTTTACTAGGGATGGTCTGATCAGGATTTTCTAAGCCAATACCATGTACAGATTCCTTGTCATGGTAATCGGACGATACAAAGTACCGATTCTGATGCTTTATAAAGCATATAGCACATTTTTCCTCTAAGCATGATACTTAAGGACTTACCTAGGATAATAAATTAAGGATGCTACATATAATCCTTTAATTTAGACGTGAACATGTCATGGTCAGAAGCAGCTTTACAGAAAATAATAAATAGCACAGATTAAAGGAGTCAAGAAAAATTACTAACGATGCAATTTGGAAATTTGAAAATGATGAAAAAAGAATTCAACATGTCTCAAAGAAAAACTTTGGAGCACATATTTGATGCAAAAGAAGTTTAAATGCACACCTATAAACCAATTACTTTATTACTAAAAGGAAATGGGTCAATAAACCTTACTGCAATGCAATACAGGTTGCAATGCATCTATATATACACTTTTGCTTTTCCAGGTGCACACATGCATCTTTCTCTGCTTGTAAACTCATAAACAAACACTTGTAATTAGATCATCCCTAATTTTTGTTCTTGAGTCATACACCCACCAGCCACTTTATTAGGTACACTAATCCAACTGCTCGTAAGCGCAAATCTGTCATTCGCCAATCACATGGCAGCAGCTCAATGCATCTAGGCATGTAGACATGGTCAAGACGATCTGCTGCAGTTCATACAGAGCATTAGAATCAGGAAGAAAGGTGATTTAAATGACTTTGAATGTGGCATGGTCATTGGTGCCAGACAGGCTGGTCTGAGTATTTCAGAAACTGCTGATCTATTGAGATTTTCATGCACAACCATCTCTAGGGTTTACAGAGAATGGTTAGAAAAAGAGAAACTATTGAGCGGCAGTTCTGTTCTGTGGATGCAAATGCCTTGATGTCGGAGGTAAATGACCAGACTCGTTTAAGCTGATAGAAAGGCAACAGTAACTCAAATACTTGTTACACTTGTTACAACTGAGGTATGCAGAAGAGCTTCCCTAAGCACACAACACGTTGAAAACTTTGAGGCAGACTCCTGTCAGCCAAGAACAGGAATCTGAAGAACTGTGTGATGCTATCATGTCAATATGAACCAGAATCTCTGAGGTATATCTCCAGTACCGTGTTAAATCTATGCTATGAAGAATTGAGGCAGTTCTGAGGGCAAAATAGGCTCCATTCCACTACTAGTAAGATTTACCTAATAAAGTGGCCGGTGAGTGTATGTGGTAATATCATATATGTAATCATTTAATACAGTGTCCATGAAAAAAGTCATAATTTCGCCAAAAGAGTATGTTTTGCTTTATTTTTGTGTGTGTGTGTTTTTTTTCCCCCTCAAGTACAAAGACCAGTTGATAATTAAAATATAATGCTGTTGTTATGATGATAATCACTTGTATTATAAAATACCTAGTTTATAAAGTATTATATTTTTGTTGACAGTATAATTATTTGTGGGCAAACAAATTCTTAAATCAACAGCTGTTGGTAAGTGTGGCAAAAAGACTCAAGTAATCTAATATAAACAATTAACTATCCCAATAAATCAAAGTTTTAGATGTGTAGAAAAAAATTCACTGGTTTAGATATACAAGGAACTTTATGGTGTGGGGGGCCCTTGCCATGAAGTTGATCATATTTCCATATGTCCATGCTGTTTAGATGATTAAAAAAACTCCTGGTATTATCAGATTTTCCTTTGTAACCATTTACAAAGTCAGCAAATGCCTGATATCTAGTTTTTGAAAGATTTAGTAAAATGTTAGTAAGCTAATATTTGGTCTGAGCTGCATGGTTGTCACTTTAAAATTTGCAGTTTTAAATCTTTAGCCTCAGAGGAACTTCAAAAGGGGAAGTTGAGTGTGATGATGTCCAGCAGTGTAGACCAGATGAAATTTCCTCATAACTGCTTTAGGGAATACTTGTAGTAAAAATGCAAGTCATTCTGCCGTCATAAAGGAATCATTCTCTCGTTTGTCTTTCAGTTCACCATTAATGTGAGCACAGACATGAGGCATCACCGAGTTCGGTTGGAGTTCCAGGATTCACCAATGATTCGGGGAAAAAAGCTCAGGGGTGAACAGGGGGTGCAGGTGGTGCTGGATCCCGTCCACAGCGTGCGTCTCATGGACTGGTGGCATCCTCAGTATCCCACATCTTTTCAATCACATCAATTAAACTGATGAACTCTCATCAAGCTTCTCTATTATAAAAACAATGCAGAAGGCAATTCGGGCCTCTTTCAACCAATGTTAAAGTCTTGTTTTAACATTTTTCTTTTTTTTTTATTGATAGTACAGTTAGTGTGCTGCTTTAATGGACACTTAAGTTTTGATTGCTAGTCTTAACTCAAGGTGTCAAGCATTGGAGATGGAAATTGATGTTTGGGTAGGTGCCATGTTTAATTCCACACCAGTTACAACCAAGTTGATGTTCAATGGTTTCTATAGATTCACTGATTTTGTTTGTGGTTAAAAGCTTTTAAATATTGCATCTACTTCTGAAGTGCTTGGCATGCTTTTCTTGCCATTGAGGGTGTTGCAGTAATACTTTCAGCAAGTTCTTATAACCATAGGGGTGTAGGGTTTTGCATGAACCTAACCTTGAATCATGTGATTTAAATAGTCAGATGTTTGTGTTTTCTTAACTGTAGCATCCCCATGATTCATCTGCATCTGATTTTTCTCATTCTGTCTCTGCAAATGTAGGAAAGGGTGAACAAGATAAATTAAAATATAAATATATATATATTAAAAAATACAAGACCTGTTAAATCTGGAGAAATGTCTTGTATGTCTTTAGCTTGGTGTTAGATTAGGGTCAAAAGTCTGAGATGATTTTATGCATTCAGTTTTTTCTTTTGGGAATTAATGAGTTCAGTTTTGCTACAAAGTATGTTTGCCTAGCTGTATTTCTTATAATTGTCTGCTTTAGCAAGGGAGATTCGACACGTTGTAGACATTAAATTGTAGTTAAAAGAATGATGCTGTCTTTGGTTCAGGTTATTAAACATATAGATTAAATAAATTTATATTTTATTGGCACCATCAAACCTGGAAGTTATGTTCCTTGATGTAAAATTCATTCTTTTAATGTAGTGTATTTTGTTTTACACTGCAAAGTTGTATCAGTAGACCTGGGTTTAAATTAATATATTTTTTTAAGTAAGTTTTTTTTTTTTTTTTTTGTGAATGGCTAATAAAAAAAGACACCATACTCCAATGTGGTTTGTACTCCTGTCCAAAATGAATGGTATTAATACTGACACCATGTGGCCTAATCTGAAACGACTACTTGATTAATCTACAAATGGAGCTTTTCAAATGATGAGAAATTTAGGCTGCTTTATTTGATTTGTGGTACCACAGAAATGTAATTTAATTTACATAGACACCTGTAATTGTATAATTTTGGAGAGAAGTATGGCTATGCATTGTGCCAAAATCTAATACACTGAGTACTGCAATTGACCAATCAGAATGAAGTATTTAAGAGGTCTGTGTAACAGCACAACAGTCTTGTTCTAAAAGCAAAATCTGAAATGATCTCTATTGGTAAGCAGATGTTTAACTGATAATATGTTTATATGTTTAACAATAATTGATAAACCTTCAAAGACAGCTGTTGTAAGCTCCAAGGTTGTAAATTGATTGATAGTTGTTTTGTTGAACACATCTTTCTCATTAATTCAGTTTTTTCAAAATCGCACCTTAATAGTGTAATTTGTAACAGCTACAATCCCCATAATGCTGCGGTCTCACTAGAGTTTTTGCATGCTAAATTCTGTTGTACAGCGCTGCGAAAATGGGTGAGATTAAACAAGAAGATCAGAATTTAAAAAAGCAAGCAATTGGTCTATGTTTTGAATTTCTGTCTAGAGAGGTCACGTTTTGATCTTTGATTGCTCTCATGCAACCATGTGATGCAATTTCGCAGGTCTGAGTTCACCAAGCTTGAACTTTTCAACGCGGTGAACTGCAAAGCGTGCCGCACGATCTTGCGTTTCCGCACTGACGCATTTGCGTACATATGAATGGAAGTCTTAGGAGAGAAAAGTGCAGTGTAACCACAGCTTTTTTTATATAGAAAGACTACCAATCAAGTTGCAACTTAAATTTAACCCCACCCACACTAGGGCTGGGTTATTAATCAAAGTAATAAAAGTTGATTTTCAGAACCAATAAATGATCTGATTTTTCCAGGTAATTTTTTTCAATTGTTTACCATGTGTGGAGTCACATGACCTTGCTCTGTTTGCTACTATTGTGTTACTTTGCACTACATTGACGAAGCTGCACCAGAAATGCCTTGAGATGGCATACTTTCCATTACATTAAAATTAAAATATTTGTTAAAAGAAGATCCTACTTTTAATTTGAAAAAACATTGAAAATAATATATTTTGTTTCCAAAAGTTATTTATTTACACTTTTTTTTTAATAAGAATAAAGTGACTTTGTTTTAGACAATGTGTTTTAATTCAACAATGATGTTCAATAAATAATTATAGATGGTAGATAGGATGTGTTTCCATCAATTGTTTTAAAATCTAGTAAAATCAATCTCTCACTTGTAATATGTGAGCATATTTACTGTACTTACATGTCAGTAAACTTAGAGGGCAAAAAAAATAAATAAATAAAATAATCATTCCTTAATTGTAATGGAGTTAAAATTTTCAAGATTAATTAATCTAGAATTTAATTTTAGGCCAAATCGCCCAGCCCTAACCGGTGGGGCTTAGGACTGGGCGATTTGGCCTAAAATCTAAATCTCGATTAACTAAGCACTTCAAATTATGAATATGAGCCAGACACAAAATGTAATAACCTTAATACCTTATTATATATTAACATGTATTTTAGCAGTGCTTTATGCAAGAATGCAGCATTTAAAAAAAGCATTTTAAAAAATCTAAATTGTCCTAAGAATGGGTGGTGTTTAATAGTTGTAGGACTATTTTGATGAAATGTATTGATACTGTTGTCTATTCTGATAATAGTATACAAATTATACAATCTCCCTTTGTCACTTTATTATTATTTTTAATGTTTATTGCCATAAAATGGCAGCATTTAACTACATAGGCTAAACAAAGTCAACATTAGTTTTGTATTTAACTGCATTGTCTGACAAATTTGAATAAAAAGATGGTGTATATGTACAGTATGTAACAGTGACTTTCTGATAAAGCTATATTTATAGCGTAAAATATTAATAAAAATAGATTTTATACAAACAGTACACATTCCATCTACAATGTTTATACATTGTGTTTTCAGTAATCTACTGTCATTTATAATAACGTGAATGAATGGATGAACTACGTTACCCAGGATGCTCTGCCCGCGCTGTGATTGGTTCCCGCGGCTGTCACAAGCGCTTACAGGTGACTGGAGAAGAGCGCTGTCACATCACACAGCGCAGCGAGAAAACAAATCGCACATCACACAGGGGAGTGAGTGAGAGAGAGTTCTGCTCAAATTATCGAGAAGTTGTAAACTCGGCTCTTTCGCAGTTTCGCTTCCATATGAATGTAGAGGGAACTGATACCAGCTTGACTTAAAAATCTGCACAACTGCCGCTCCTGCACCAAAACTACGTCCCAACTTTGTACTTTCTGACCTTCAGCGGGTAAGTGATACAGCTCATTGCTCTCCACTCTGAGTCTAAATAAGTCTGCCTCTGCTTGAGTTGCGCTCTTTTCCAGATTATTCCAAAGCGACAGTATTTACATACATATTATCCTTATTAACAAAACATTACCGCAGTCTGTTGACTTTTTTTTATGAAAGTCATTGAATTTAGCTTGAGAGATGACTCAAAACTGTATAACGCTAACCACAGTTATGCTTTAAATTAGTATTTGATGCATACAGTTTCATATTTGTGGACGTACAGTAAAAACATATGGTTATTCCAAGTTGAATATGTTTTTATTCTTGGCACAAAGCCATACTGCTGATACTTGATCTGTATAAACTCCAAATATGTATAAACAGCGTTGGCAATATGTCTTATGTAATGCGAACAGCGCAGTTAAAACCCCCACGGATGTGTCCCCTATAAAATTGTTAGCTATTTACACTTAATGTTCAAACATAGAGCACAACCTATTTATAGGGAGCATAAGTAAGGCCTGCGAACTGTGAATATACTTCCTTGTCTAAATGAGACCTTGCCTACAACGTGTGTGTGCAAAAATGTAAATATTATAAATTGTAATACAGCCTATAGTTGTGCATCTATGTACTGTAAGTGCTTTCATTGTTGGTCATATGTTTACATTAATAGCTGTGCTGTTTCTTTGCTTAAATCTGTCACAATTTCATTATACCTGTTGCAGCGGTTCTAATAACTAACTGTGTTTTCATGGAATTGCTTTTTTGTTTATTCAAATATCAGATAGCACAGTACAAACTGGTATTTAAAGGTGCCTACGGTATAATCCAGTATTCAGATTTAGTCAAGCAAAAAAGTGAACAATGTAGTTTTTTTTATTTGCTCAGTGCAACTGATAGTATCAAGTTGATCTTTTGTTTGGTCGTGGTTTTGTGTATTTCCCTTCTGCTATCATAATAATCATTCAAAACCAAACTTCATTAAATACCCTATAATAACAAAAACTATGAAAATGTACTCACCCTTATGTCATTCCAAACTCAAAAGACATTTGTTAAACAGATTGAGGTATTTTTAATCTTCTTCTATTTAAGGTCTGCTCATGCAAAATATGTTTAAAAAAAGTTCTATATAAGATAAGATAACAAAGATTTATATAATGAACAGATTTATTATGGCCTTAAACATTAATTAGCAAACATAAACTGAAGCTTAATGATGATTTGAATGATGTAAACATTGTTTGGTGGTCACGGTTTATACTGTATGTTAATAAAAGCCTAAATTAATTTAGCATTATAAAGCATCTACTATAACTGACCTGACTTATATTTGTTTCATATTTGTTTACCACATTACAAATGTCTTGAACTATCAGAGTTTGAATATGTGTAAAAGAATGTTTGCACAATATGTCTGATAATTTTTTTTTCTCCTGGAGAAAGTCTTTCTTTTATTTTGCCTAGAATAAAAGCAGTTTTAAATTTTCTAAAAATCATTTTGAGGTCAATATTATTAGCCCCTTTAAGCTATTTTTTTGTTGCTTACAGAACAAACCACTGTTATACAATGATTTGCTTGCTTACCCTAACCTACCTAGTTAACCTAATTTACCTAGTTAAGCCTTTAAATGTCACTTTAAGCTATATAGAAGTGTCTTGAAAAACATTTAGTATAATATTATTTAATAAAGTAAATCAGTTATTAGAAATGAGTTAATAAAACTATTATGTTTAGAAATGTGTTGAAAACTATCTCCTCTCCGTTAAACAGAAATTTGAGAAAAAAAATAAACAGGGGGGCTTATAATTTTTATTTTTTTATTCAATGGTTGAACAGAAATTTCTCAGATTAAATGAAACGATATCTTCATTGATGTCCCAGGGAGGAGTAATTTTCTCATGGGTTTGGAATGACATGATGTTGAGTAAATGATGACAATTTAAATTTTGAGTTGAACCTATCCTTTTAAGTCAATGCAGTTTGACTTGGCTGATGCAATAAAGAAAACACATTTATATAAAAGCTTAAGACTAGGCTTGGGATGATAACTGTTTTCAAGGTATATCGCAGTTTGAAAAAGTGAAAGTTTTAAAACCGGCTAAATCTTCTCCTATACCGTTCCGATGTTATATGTAAGATTTTTTTTATAACTTTTAAAAAGTTTTAGGGACAACAACATCTGCAACAGAAAAGGTATCCAAAGATCCTGTTTCAAATAGTAAAGAAATCTGGGTTTTTGAAACTAATGAAGACAGCAGGTCAAAGATTAATGTGAAATGTTTAGCCTGACATGTTTCCTGCTCCAAAATATAATAAATGTTTTTCAAAATAAAATATATTGTTCAAAGGAAAAAAGTTTTTGTTTTTTTACCCAGAAATTTAAAAAAATATATATTTTAGAGCAGTAAATGACAAACCAGGATTTTTTATTTTTAAAAACCGAAAGAGTCATATAACGGCCTACTTAAGACCCCCAAAAGCTTATTGTGATTAACATGACAGATGGTTTAATGGTGATTCAAAAAATGTTCTTGTTAATCAAGAGGAAAGAAAGCCTCCTGTACTAATCATTGATTCGGGTGGGCTTGTGCAAATGCTTCCTACTACCACTAATATAGTCTAGATGAATCATCCATAAGAAAAAATTTCTGTCATGCAAGAAAATCAAGTTCACCCGCAGGTCATATCAGAAAGAAGCCAGTAGCTTATCTGTCCTTTCTGATGGTAAGAGATAAACGCAGGAGTGGCCTTTTCCATCACACGCGCCGCCACGTTTGACAGGTGCATGATATCCAATCAGGGCATTAGGCGTCAGTTAGGTGTTTGTTTTGATGCAATTGAGTGACTTAAATCAGATATATCAACCGAGAGGAAGACAGTATGGCTGATGAAAGGTAACTCCAGAACTCTCCCACGCATATAAACACTTAGCAATGATGACAACGGTAAACGCATTTGTTGCTGTGCACTGGTATTTTGGTTGGCTTGCTCTTTCTCTGTTTCCATTACATTGCCTTTGAGTCGAGCATTTTGGTTGAACATAAACTACACTTGCCTTAATTGTAGACATGACCCCGTCGGCTAGGTTGAAAATGAGCTGCTACTGAAGGTACTTTAGTGGAACGATACGTTGGTGTACATGAACAATGTGCTGAACTCCTTCCTTTTTTTCCAGTATGGGCAGTGATGTAACAGTAAAAAAAGGAGAATGGCATTTGACTTGTGCTTAGATTCACTATTTGAAGTGATTCTGTATTGTGTGGTTAACCAACTGGCACCAAATGTTTAGACAAGCATCAATATTTTTTATTCTTGCATCAAATCATGCCCTAAAAGCCTGTTTTGTCGATGTAACCCTTTCCTGTAAATGTGAAACCAAATTTTGTTCCTCTCTGCTTGTTTTCACAACGCTACTCTGAGGCGATACTTGAAACTGATGGAGCGTGGAGAGAAAGAGCAGTGGGCCATTTAATGCAACAGCTGTTCTCAACAATGACAGAGGCATTGCTGACTGAGAAAGCAGAATGTAATGTGGACATGTACAAATACAGGTTGCCGTTCGGTTTCTGAAGCTCAGTAAATAGATTTTAAACATTATTTGTTTTTTCAAATCTGATACAAATTACAGGAGCTTTAAAAAATTCTGGTCAAAAATTTGTGGTCGTGATGTGCTGACTGATGTAGGCACGGTTTACATTGTATTAACTCTTTCAAATGTAGGCTCTAAATACTTCCACTGACCCCCTGCATTAGTTTTTTTAATGTGCTGTTAATTAGAATGCATCCTTTTAAAGCAGTGATCACTAACATTTTTAAGCACAGAATACCTAACATTGGCTTTACTTATAGACAAGACCTGTCCATCAAAAAAACTGACAAAACATTAAACAAAGATTGCATTTTCAACTTGAAAACCTTAATTGAAACTTTATGAACAATGTAAAATCATAAGTTTAACCTAGTTTAAAATGGTTACAATTTGACACTTTTTACAATTGGTGGCACAGTGGGTAGCACAATCGCCTCACAGCAAGAAGTTCACTGGTTCGAGCCCAGGCTGGGTAAGTTGGCAGTCTCTGTGGAGTTTGCATGGAGTTTTCCATGCTTGTGTGGGTTTCTTCTGGGTGCTCCAGTTTTCCCCACAGTCCAGACATGCGATACAGGCGAATTGGGTAGGCTAAATTGCCGGTAGTGTATGTGTGTAAATGAGGGCATCCGCTGTGTAAAACATATGCTAGATAAGTTAGTGGGTCATTCCGGTTTGGCGATCCGCGATTATTAAAGGGACGAAGCTGAAAAGAAAATGAATATTAATAATAATAGTAAAACCCCCCAAAAAACATTATTATTACTAAAACATTGTACATAATTCATGAATTATAACTGTGGTTTTGTAGCCTATCATATTCTGCAGCACCAATTCACAATGTGCTAAGGCACAAACTGCTGCTTGCCCCTAGATATTATTGTGGGAGCTTAGAACCCGATCACACTGAATGCAGTGTGGAAAAAAGAAGTGCTTTTAAAAAGTTGCTGTCTATTGGTAGTGGGAGCTTTGTGCCTGTGCTGAGCTCCCACAAAAGCGATCAACATTATTTGTGTTGCACGCTCAAGCCTCCTGATTCAGTGGTTGCCAGGCAGCATAAAAAGCGTAGACATATAAGTAAACTAAAAGGGCAGTGCCATGTCACTTCACACTTTTAGACCTGAAAATCATGTTCTGTGCCATTATGGACCCTTTTCACAATTCCGGGTTTCTCAGTAGCGGAAGTTGTCATAGTTGGGTAAACAAATATTTTTTTACCATCCTATTTGCTGAAATAATAAAAGAAAAACTCTATGATGGTGTTATCAAGTCTTATAATAAATAGAGGGAGACTGATAACGGCAGCCAGAAGAGAGAACATTGTCTTATATACACTCCTTTCAACCCTCTTGCACAAGCAGTAATTTGTTTTTATTTCTAATTTGATGCAAAGATGATGTAATACATAGGTAAATACATATAA